AGTATTTGATAATACGATAACTTAGAAGTGGCAAGAATTTTTTTCTTAATGTTTGTTATTTTTCTTAAAGAATTTTATCTTCCTAATCAATATTATTTAAAAATCCATTTAAATTATAAAAGAATATGAAAAAGATATTATGGCTTTTGACTCTTTTTGTCCTTTTTTTTGCTCTGAAATTATATGTGTATCTCTGACCAGGTAAAATTGATATAATCTATATTCACACAGTGCCAGAAAGTGAATGAAGCTGCTTGTGACATTGCAAGAGAAGTGGCTGATGAAGGTGATGCTTTGGTGGCTGGAGGGGTCAGTCAAACACCATCATACTTAAGCTGCAAGAATAAAACAGAGGTTAAAGCAGTCTTTCAAAAACAACTAGAGGTCTTTATGAAGAAGAATGTGGACTTCCTAATTGCAGAGGTAAATCTTTAAAAAAAGCACTTGCCTTCAACTGGCACAATGTTGACTTTTAAGATGTCTAGTTTACTTTAGGGAGAACAACTATATATTGCTTCTTCCTTTAAAATTTTCTGCTGTGCTCTTGTCCCAGTAGTATCAGATATTTTTCTAAATGCGCACCACCACCTGCAGGTGTCCTAGAATAGGACCTTGAAACCTAAGTTTCTACCTCAGTCAAGTGAAATTCTATACTGGTACAAAGAGGATATAATAATGGGGTCTTAACTAGTTTCTATTTCTTCCCATATGTGGTAAGCAACCTAAGATGACTTTTCTAGATTAAAATAGTTCTTGGATTAATCCCCGATTAATCAAATCCTGTATGGGCAGTCTTATTCTGAAACAAAATTATCATTATGTTTAACTTACTTTTACTCATCTGACTTTTAAAAATCCTTTTTCAACTGGGTGGTCAGTGAACTCAACTGAATTATGTTAGTATAAATCAGAAAAGAATCAAGTCGTATTGCTGGTGAATTTGGGGTCTGGATTAATGTATTTATGCTTCATTGCCAAGAAACTAAAGTAGTCCAGTTTTAATTTCTTTCAGTATTTTGAACATGTTGAAGAGGCCGTGTGGGCAGTTGAAGTTCTAAAAGAATCTGGAAAGCCAGTTGCAGCTACAATGTGCATTGGTCCAGAAGGAGACATGCATGGAGTGTCCCCTGGACAATGTGCTGTCCAGCTGGTAAAGGCTGGTAAGAATCTCTTTTAATATGCCCTTTAAAAGCAGGGAACAAAGTAATGTCCTTAATTATTGAGATAAATGAATGTGTATCTGAAGTAGGTAGCTTCCCAATTACATCTGATAAAAGTTTTGATTCTGTAGTAAAGTTTTTATGTGTACTTTACTAAAGCAGTCTTGTAAAAACAGATGAAAATGCAGCTATGAAATCCTTGATAATCAGAGTGCAATGGCTGCGAGCAATAGCCACAGACAGCTGATACTGAATACAGAAAAATCCTAAACCTACTCAAATTTCATTACAGACCCAGCCCCAAATTCTAGAATCACATGCAGGATCCAAAGCCACCTTTGATTCTCTGCTTATGTATTTTTGAAATGTATGAAGCATAGTTCAAACCCAGGATGAGAGAATTAAGAGGATGAAAAAAATTAATACTTTTGCCTATTCCCAGGACAAGGGGAAAGGCAGAAGAAACTAATCAGGGGCATGATGAATGATGGTACAGCGGTTTATTATATCTGTTTGGAACTACTCTTTTCCTTTCCAGTCAGAGTTGAAATCCAAAGGCAGAACTTGTGTTAGGAACCTGCTAACTATTTGCATGTGTGGCTGTACATAATCAGACTTCACTGATTAAGCACTGGTAAGAAAAGCAGCTGTAGAAGGGGGGAAGATATAATTCATCATCAGGAAGATAAAGAGGAGTGCAACTGAGATGCAAACGGAATGATTAACCTCAGCAGAGTTGAGCTCTAACACATCTGCCTTGTTTTCATAACACTGGTGTAAAGATGGACTGTACTGCTTCTGGACTGCTGTGGCTCAGAACTTTCACTTCCCACTTTCTGTGAAGACATGACTTGAAGTTATTTTCCTCCTCCCAGGTGCTTCTATTGTTGGAGTCAACTGCCATTTTGATCCAGAAACTTGCCTGGAAACTGTGAAACTGATGAAAGAGGGCTTGCAGGCTGCTAAACTGAAAGCCCACCTGATGTCCCAACCACTTGCTTTCCATACACCTGATTGTGGAAAGCAGGGTTTTATTGATCTTCCAGAATTTCCCTTTGGTAAGACAAGGGTATCTTTGTTGTTGTATGTTTGTTTGTTTATTTGTGGTTTTGTTTTATTGTATGTTCCTCTTTTGTTTTTTTTTTTTTTTCCCAGCTTTTAGTAAAGCTGAAGCTGCAAAGTATCCTTCTATAAAACAGGATGAGTCCCAGTTACCTTCTGGCATTTTCCAGACAGATTACAGTATAGTATTGGATTAAAGATCATCCACATAGTGACAATGCTTCACTAGTATCGCAGCATGTGACAGAAAGTGAAATTACGATGAAAACAGTTAAAATACCACAAACTAAACTCAGTTAAAAACTTACTTCTTCCCAGTGCTATAGAACCATGTTCAGAACAGCTATAAACAGTCCAAAGAAATGAACAAAAGCAAATACTCAAAAAAACACTTACTATCCCACAAGGCCTATGTGCACTGTTTAGGCACTTAATGTACAATGCATATGCAGAACTGGATAAAGGTGCATGATTATTGCATAATAGTTCAGTCTTGTGAGTGTTACTGTGTAATTTAAGTGAGACTAGAGAGAAACCAGAAAGGGGACTTCAATGTTGCTAACAAATTGGCAGTTTGGAGGCTTGACAACTATGCTCAGGAGAAACTCTACAAAAACTGAAAGATTCAGCCATTTTTGTGTATATAAGGCTTCTGTATTTAGGCTTATTTTCCCCTGCGGTGCAAAGGATCCCTTTAACATAAAGACAGAATCACCTTACACATTTTAAGGATGATTAGAAAAATTCTTTCATTTTCAGGTAACGTACACCTTTCTTTTCAAGATCGAACTGTATGGTACTAAACATTCACAACTTGAGTTTGTAGAAAATAATTAAGAGATGGATGTGATTTTTAGGAAGTTCATTGTTTTTTCTTTAAATTCCTTTCTTTACCTAAATGACGGAAAGAGAATAGTGAGCCTGAGGCATTCATTAAATGGTAATAACATATCTGAGTTCTGAAAATATTCTGAGATGTTTAAAAGTGTTAGGAACCATTTATCCTATTCATTCCTTCATATAAGTCCTCTGATTGCAAGCAAAAAAAGATCGAACAGATGCAGTAAGCAATCAAGTGAACCGAAAGATTCACTCTTGGATTGTATGTTTTAAGCAATCTGTATGAGATCTCAGCATTCAGAAATTTCGTGAATAATTGGTGAAGACTCATTTTGTGAATGTTTTCAATAACCAGAAGTAGCAACGAGTCACTTGATAGCAGATAAGCTGTTTGGTAAATCATTGTTAACCTAACCAAATTAACTGTTTTTTGTGAAAGGCAATATGGACAAAGAGGTATTTAGATATCTGAAGAGTACATAACCTCTGTACGGGCCAACAGTATCTCAGTATCTAGGAAAGCATTAGCCATGTTGTATTGGCAAACTCCAGCATCTAGATGCCAGCAGTATTTATTTTTCTGTAGAACTTTATCCATTTTCCTGTGTTTTCCCTTCTGTGTTACTAGAATTTCTCTGAAATGTCACCAATTAAATAAGGACAATATTTTAGAAAGAACTGTCCCAGTGAAAGCAGTGAAAGCACCCAATTATCTCAAAAGTAGATATATAGAGGGGGCAAATCTAGGAACAGGTTACAAACTTTTCATCAAAAACTGATGAAAATTTAAATCTCTTTTTACTATAAATTTTAACATAAAGTTAAGTTATAGATATTTAATTCTGAATAAAGCCAAGAAAATAAATGAATTGACAGACATGGAAAACAGAATGTTAGTCAATTTTGGGAAGGTGTCTTTCCATTTTAGAGAAAAGCATTTGGTGTGGGACAGTATCAAATATTTTGCAGAAGTCAAGGAAGGTGATATCAGTCGCTCTTCCCTTCTCCACCAACACTGTAACCCCATCGTAGCAGGCCAAATTTGTCAGGCAGGATTTGCCCTCAGTGAAGCCACACTAGCAGCCACCAATCAGATCCTCATTTTTCATGTGCCTTAACATAGCTTCCATGGGATTTGATTCATGGTCTTACTGGGCACTGAGGTGAGACTGACCCATCTGTAGTTCTCTGGGTTTTCCTTTTTTTTAAAAGAGGGTTATGTTTCCCTTACTCCAGTCACTGGGAACTTCACTAGACTGTCACGAGTTTTCACATATGACAGTTAGTGGCTTAGCCACTTCATCTGACAGTTCCCTCGGGACCCTCAGATGCATCTCATCAGGTCACATGGATTGTGACAGGGTGGTGGAGGAGACAGGGGGACACTCTATACTGTTCCCCTGGAGTTTTGTTGCTTATACCGGTATAAACTGAGTGCACAATGATGCGTTCTTACTGTTGATCATTTGTATAAATTTTGCACTAGTGTTTTCATGATATATGAGAGACAAGGAAATCATTAATTTTTCCTTCTGATGCTTTTTGTCAGCTCTGCAGCATTGTACACAAGCTTTTTTTTATTTGGACAGCTTTCTAAGATAGCTTAATCTAAGTTTTCCTTGTGATATTAAGACCACCTACTTTTCCTTTGTCCAGTCTTTCCCTCTAAGACCAATAATTTTCTGTTTAAGAATATTTAATTTTCTTCCTTCTGCTTTTTAATTTCTGAACCCATTTCTTAACTACACAGTGGACTTAGAATGGATCTGCTTTGTATCATCTTCTTGCATTTTAGGCATTTTTGGGAGAGGATATAGGGAGAAGAATCCTACCTCTCTACTGTATTGCTGGAGCCTTACTACCTTCCGACAGCTTCTTTGCCCAGTGGAGTGTTCCAGTGCACAGACAGTGCACAGGCTTGCATGATAACTGCGATGGTTCATCTCCTGCAGATGTGCATTAAGGAGTGGGAGGATTTTTATTCTTTCATTCCCATATTTTTATTCCTTAAAGTTTCTTCTTCAGTCCCTGGTCTTTTCTTTCCAGTTATGCTGCTCTCGTGCCTCCTACCCTTTGAGGTGTGCTTTTCCTTTACCTTTTCACTTTCTATTCCTCTCCTTCCACATCCTTCCCATCAGCTCTGTTATCCCGTCACTCTGCTCACCACAACCTGCAACAGAGAGAAGGGTTCAAACTAAAGATTGCATCCTAACTTACCTACACACAGAACTTTCCACAAGCAATGAGATGGTTTAAGGCAGCAAGATGCTTATGACTGGGATTCTAACTAAGGAATGGGCTAAGAAATAGCTACAGATCCCAGCTGAAACAATTGGCTGCTGTTAGCTGATCATGGAAAAAAATGTAATAAGCATTCTTGAGGAATAATGACCAGGCTTATTCCTATTCAGATAGACTGATACCTTCTCCTTTCACAGATTAGTTTGTGCTAATCAGATTTCCCAGGTATTGCTTGTTAATTAGGAAATGTCGCCATAACATTGAAAGTACTCCAAAACTTCAGCTAAGAACTCTGTCAGAATGGCAAGCATGCGATCAATCTCAGAAGATACTATATGCTGTTTTGCAAGGCCAAAAATGCTAACAAGCACAGGTCAGCAGAACACAGCACAATCAGAAGGCTAGACTTCTGAAAGTTTGCATCATTAATTCTAGGTCAGACAGTTCAAACAGGTACATTTACATCTACAATCACTTTAGCTAACAGAGTGCAAGTGTTTCAAAAACATGATTTCTTACAAAAACTCTGCTGAAATGGACCATGGTGGAAACTTAAGATATGACTGTCTTTGCAGGTCTGGAGCCAAGAATTGTAACCAGATGGGACATTCAAAAATATGCAAGAAAGGCCTATGACTTAGGAATTCGTTTCATTGGAGGCTGCTGTGGATTTGAGCCATATCACATCCGAGCAATAGCTGAGGAGCTGGCTCCTGAAAGAGGATTTTTGCCAGAAGCTTCTGAGAAGCATGGTAGCTGGGGCAGTAACCTGAGCATGCATACCAAACCCTGGGTCAGAGCAAGGTGTGTGTATATCTGACCCGGAAAGCACACCAACACACCTCTTGCAAAGGCTTATATTGCTCAATGCAGCAGACTGGCTTAACTCATATGGAGGTCTAAATATCACTGTAAACATTCTATGTGTTAATAATTTTAAAGAATTAAAGCTGATCTTGGAGCAGGGAAATGGGTGAAGGAGCACTAGAGGAGCTCTTGTGAAAGTAATTTGTGAAATAATTCATGAAAGTGAAGATGAAAAACTGACAGGGTACTGTAGATCAGCTTCTAATGGTGAGTGGCTTACAGTATTCCTTTTAAGGATGGAAAGAATACCTTAAAGATACTTTTTAAGCATGTATCATTTTATTGCATGCTTTCATTCCTCTGTATTTAAATATAGTTAGATGACCCTTTGCAATTGTCATTTAGGCCACATTTCCTTCAGTATTGTGAGGTGCTGAGTAAAAAACCCCCTGAATTTCCTTTTCTTTCCTTAGGGCAAGAAAAGAATACTGGGATAACCTGAAGCCTGCTTCAGGAAGGCCATATTGTCCTTCCATGTCAAAGCCAGATGGCTGGGGAGTGACCAAAGGAGCCAGGGAGCTGATGCAACAGAAAGAAGCAACGACTGAACAACAGCTGAAGGAGCTCTTCCAGAAACAGAAGATCTAATCCACTGAAGTTGTGTAAATGTTAGAATGATTAATCTACAGACCATTTCATGTTTCACAAGAAAATCAGACAAGTACCCTACTGATTTATCACTTAAAACATAATGAAAGAGACAAAATGCAGAAAGAATATGATTACAGAGTAAATATGTCAAACTTTGATAATAAAATCTTTCTCTGGACAAATAGTTTAGAGAATACATAGTCAAAAGTAAGTTTGGATTCTCATAATAATTGAGTTTTGGTTAGCTAGGTGCCATTAATTGGGTAGGCACATAAATACCTCGAAAGTAGTAATTGGCTCAACTCACATGTGCAAAGGGAAAAAGCCATCTCTAAATAAGGTATCAACAGACTTCAACTCCCACGTCTGTTTTCAGTTCGGGATTATGTAGGAGCTTCCTCAGACCTCAAGATTTGTTGAGGACTACTGCAAGGACACACAGGCTGCCAATACTTCAGACACACGATTATTTGTAACACTTATTTGATTTCAAAAGAATAAAAGGAAAATAAAAAACACATCTTGTAATAGCAATCAAAACAAGGAGAATGAGATCTTGCAGAAATTTCTTATATGCAGGGAGAAAGGTTAAAAGAACTTTTAGGAATGGAAAATGACATGTAAATAACTCACTGCTTTTGTCTCAAGGTACCATGTACACAAGATTTCCTCTTCTGGAGACTAAAAGTCTTAAGAAATTACTCTGCAATTAAAAAAAAAGTCAAATAAATTAAAAATAACATGATGGAGTAGTTTTGTATTATCTTCATACCTTAAATCATGAGAGCTGAAACAGAACAACACACCTCCAGTAAAAAACTAATTTTCAAATGACGCATCTGATCTCTGGAAATCTCATTTTAAATATGTGGTTATCTCAAAATAGCAAAAAACCCAAAGGCTTGTAAAATATAATTCCTGTTTATATGAGTAGTAGAACATGCCATTACTTAAAAAAAAAAAAAAAAGGCTGATTGATTCATTCTACAATCTTAGCTGTAACAAATGAAAAACCCTGTTAGGAAATATCAATCTGCTTAAGTTAAGAAAACCCATGGACATTTGTACACTGATTTTGTTGAGAAGGTTTTTCACAGAAAGGGTACCACTGTACTTGGAACCCATAAAGGACACATTTCCACAGTTTATTTTTGTGAAATACCACACAACTTAGATTTCTCTCTAGAATGTAATTCTCACCCATTCTATATTAAGGCCTTCATGAAAATACCATTCTCAAAGTTAGAGCTGAAAGCTTTAGTTCAACTATGTTTTATGTATAAGCTTATTTCATTATTTCTGTCCATGCTGGTATTCTACAGTTTAGGAAACAAATATACAAAACTTCCACAGGGAACTTCAGGTATTCTTTTCAGACTGTTAATGGCAGATAGATTTTAGAAAAAGCCATCTCCCTTCCGCAGGCTTGTAACAGATTGAAATACTAGCTGGAAATTTTGCCTGAAAGCCAAAAGCAGACAAATCAAGAAAGCAGATAGTTTAAAATGTAGATTATTTGGAAAGCATCCATCTAAGTATATATGCACTACATTAAACTCCTTTCCTTTCTAAATGCATCTGGGCATTACCTCTGCAGAAAGTGGAATAATGTAAAATCTGTAAAACAGAAAGGCCAGATCTTTCATCATCACCAGAATGCACACAGCATTAAAGATATATCTGTGATAAAGTGGCCTAAAATACAGGCTACAATTGGTAAAGAAATGTTTTGAACAGTCATTACCAATTTAGGGACTTGTGGCATAGAAATGCAGCTTGACCACCACACACTAACTATATAAGTAGCTAGGGCTGATTTTTTTGAAACCATCAAAACATGCAAAAATTTGTATTGAAGTGAATGACTTCACAACACAGAATATTGAAGAACCTGGTATTAAGATGATAAGATTTTTGAATGTTTAGATACCCAGTTTGAAAAGGATGAATTTTAACATGCTAAGAATGATGAAAATTATGTAGAAGTGATTTGAAGACATTAAAAATGAGATCTGACTCAAGGAGGAAGCTATACATTCCCTGTTTAATTCATATCACAGGCTGGGCTTATCCAGAAATTGACAATGGGATAAAAACAAGTTGTCAGGGTGCTTCACTGATCACTAAAGAACCCCAAACTAACAAAAAACCCCCAACGAAACGAAACAAAAAAATCCAACACCCTCTGCCTTAAAAAAAACCCCAAACCCAAAAAACCACCAAGCAGCAAAGCCAACCAAGCTTTATTTCCCATTTCTTTCTGTGTAACATCTTAGTGAGGCATATAGCAACTGTTAGATGTGTTACAGCTTTCAGAAAATCACAGAATATGGTGAGCTGGAAGGGAGCCACAAGGGTCATTGAGTCCAACCCTTAGACCTGCAAAGGACCATTCCCAAGAGTCACACCACATGTCCAAGAATATTATCCAAACACTTCTTGAACTCTGTCAGGCTTGGTGCTGTGACCACTTCCCTGGTGAGCCTGTTCCAGTGCCCAACCACCCTCTGGGTGAAGAACCTCTTTTATAATATCCAACCTAAACCTCCCCTGACATAACTCCGGGCCATTCCCTCAGGTTCTGTGACTGCTCCCCATAAAGAAGAGATCAGTGCCTGACCCTTCTCTTCCCTTTACAAGCAAGTTGTAACTGCAATGAGGTCTCCCCTCAGTCTCCTCTTCTCCAGGCTGAACAGACCAAGTGACCTTAGTCTCTCCTCATACGGCTTCCCCTCAAGGCCCTTCACCATCCTCTAATGGTTAATTATGTGACTTGTTAAAGAAATAAGACAGGCTGACAGCACAGTCCTAGGAAATTTGTTTCCTTAGAAAGCGTATCTGAAAACTTAGATAGGAAGTGAACGGGGCTTTAGAAGGTTAGCTCCTGTATTTGGTACCCTAAGGCCTGTTTGGAAATACATCTAATGATGGAGCTTCCATGCCAGTGCCAGGCAGTCTGGTTACTTCACTATTCTTAACACATTTTTCCTAATTTGAATATTCCTTGATGGAATTTAAATCCATTATTTCTTTTCAGCTCATTGGAGACATGAAGAATTTCTTTACTTTATCTTTGCTAAGTCTTTCATACATTTGAAGATTTACATACATTCCTTGTTTCTCTCTCAATCGAACAGACCTTGTTCGTTCATCCTTTCCCTGCGGCCTCTGAGTCTATAGTTCATCATAAATCCAGAGATCACCTCCATCAGATCTCTTCCTATCTCTATGCTTTTTTTACCTGCAAGCAGAAGTGAAGATCCAGAAGTGAAAACCCAAAGTCTTTGCAATCTAAAGAATAAATCTTTACTCATGAGGCTGAATGTCAGGACCCTCTGTGCAATCTCAGGTGTTGGCCTGATTATTTGTAAACCACAGGAATGCAAGGAGAGGGTTATTGTAAAGAAGGAAATTTGGGAGTAACAAAATTTACAGAAAACATAACTTTTTTCCCTTGTTCTTTTGAAGAGAAAGTTTTCTAAAAATCCTACCAAATCTGACATCCTCAAGTACCAAAATTTCTTCCTAAAGCAGTTTGTGACTCTGCCTTCTTTTTCTATACACACAGTGGCAGGTTCAGTGACATTTTTTAAATCTAAACATCAAAAGAAGTGGATTCATATATCTATGTTGTTCTACTCCATGGACTTCATGAAATATTGAATATAAACTAATCTCATTTAATCCTGCATTAAGTATAGACACCACTGAAATAGGATGGGGAGAATATTATCATAAAATCTATTATTTCAGCAACTTGCTTTGCTACAAAATTCTTCACTACCTTTCCTTTATGTTCCACTTTATTGAGAGAGATGGTATTTGTCATAAATTTTATGCAATCATGATACTAAATTTTGTTAATGGTGTATACTATACCTCTATAGGTACAGCTCCTGAGACAGATAGCAATCAATTACATCCCAGCATTAGGAATCTGCAGATGTACTTCCCATATATTTTGGTCAACTTCACCTCAGAGCTTCTGTGTCCAGTAAGGCTGAATATCTGAAAACAAAAACAAATTTGTATAATAGGACTTGATGCAATAATGGTGGACAGTAGTTGCTATGAAATTAATTTCAAAGCAGGTTGAGAAATGTATGTTTGGAAGGTAGAAGCATGACTCTTATCTGACAATTAACAAAGCAACAGCAAACACCCATCAAATGAAGCTTTACAAGTATTACAAGTTGTCTCTGGGTGGTTCAAAAGTGTTTTGCAGCATTCATTTGCAAACATTTGCATGTCATTGTTTCAGCACAATTGAAGAGAGAGATGAAGTGACATGTAATGTGGGAGGGAAATTCCATCATCAATTTTTATTTCTAATCAATCAATCAAACAAACAAACAAAAAATAGGTCAGTTTCATCCAAGAAAAAAACAAGAATAAAAAGACTCTACAATAATTTAGGTCAAGCAACAGTGTTCTTCAGCCCCGTAAAAAAAAGCTTGCATGTTTGTATGAATTATGTCAGCTAGTATGCTGGAAGATCCTGCTGGCTCTTCCTACAAACATTTCTGCAACAAAGCACTTCTCGGAAGCATCACAGTATTACAGCTCCATGGAAAATCAAAGATGTGTCCTTTGAAGAAAAAGGCTTTTTAAAAATCATATTTCTTACTATGTAATTTCTTCTTAGCTTTTTTCTGTATGATGAAACCCCAGCAAAGTGTACTCTCCAAAGACAGGCCTGTAGCAAGCTGTGTGAATGCTGCCTCCAGGTGGCTCCGTGCATGCATACAGCACCGGGTAAGGGAGAACCTCAAATGGCTTCTCAGGCCTGTGTATGCAGACAGAAATCAGAACAGCTGTTAATTCCTACTTAATTTCAGAACAGACTTAATTACACCTGTATTTGTTACTTAATAAGGAAGTGTTTTCTTTACAAGAACTGTAAAAGCTAATTAAATCTCCAGTTGTCTCAGTCTTATTTTACTGCCAGAATAAATGGACTGGATGGAAGTTTTTCCTTGAAAATAGCCAGATCCACTTTTATTTTAAACAATCAAATGGCATACAATGTAGACAAACATTTTAAATTACAAGGAACGGGACAGTGGAGAAAAAAGCTGGAACAGGGACAGGATAGATGCAAAGAGGCACTGTGTGCAATATTAAATGCTAGACAGCACTGCATCTACCACACAACAGGGCAGAATTTAGATTTGATAAGCGTGAAAAGCTGTGGCCTCTGTAGCCACTGCTTTCTGCAAGGCTAGACCTTGCCAGGTTTCATTCTGTTATCCTGGCAAGACTGCCCCCATAACTGAACAGCAAACTGAGGCTATGTTCTTTAAACTTTCTACTGTTTTTCTTAATTCTTCTATTGATATGACAATTCTGGACTCAGAGAAATAATTGTTATTCCATCCTACTTTAATACTGCTATGCCTGTGTTTAATGTGACTGGTTCTGCTGGTTCTGCTAGGCAGACAGGACTCTTAAAGATAATTAGTATTTGCACCATTGACTTGAAAGGCAGTCTGCTTTTTTTTTTTGGACCTGACGCTGTTCATACTCCATTCTGCTCACACTCATACAGCAGCACAAAAGGGCAGAAAGTGGATTAGATGTTTTTGCCTAGAAACGAAGCAATCCTTGTGTGTCATAAAGATGATACACCTGACCCATCAGCTTCTTCCCACATGTGGGAATATAGAATATTGCAAAGGTGTGAGAGGGTGGCCAGGACAGTTGCCTTTGATTAGAAAATTAAAATAGTTCATCAGTCTTGTCACGCTAGCCTGTGGAAGGAAGGCTGCATACAGGTATGAAAGTAAAGAATTAAAATCAGTTTATGCTTTACTTATGCTGAACAGAATTGTTATGAACTGCCCAAGGTGAAACAGAGTAGGAACTCAGACTTTTGATTTTTTACTTGTAACTTTTACCAGAATATTTAGCTTAATGCCCTAAGGTATTCCCAAAAAGCTGTGTCCAGAAGTTGTCCTCAGCTGGAGATAGAAAGTACATAGGAGTATGTCCAAATAGTAATTGCCAGCACTTTTCAAAATGTATGCAGAAAATTGACTGAACAAGGATTTGGCCCTTGGTCCAAAGCTTCATGCGTAAACCATTCAGAAAACCTCTGCAAACCTGATTAGCTATTCTGTTCTCACTAATATATGCAGAAAAATCATAGATCTAAATTACTATTTCCTTCGGTTACTAGTAATTTGGCATATCACACAGGTGAGCATCCAATGCTGACAGACCAATGTGTTTCACTACAGACCTCTGGGTTGGTGTGAGTCCCTGCAGCACAGCTGAGTAGCCAGGACCAAGGCAAACAGACAGTCGCATAAGGTAGCTAAATAAAGCAGAGGTTCTAGAAGTAAGGATGGATTGCATTCAATATTGGGTATGTCTTACTGCTCATGGCTCAGCTTAATAGTCTGGCTAGAACAGGATCTGTTTCAGAAGGGTATCTGGTTAACAGTTATTTATCTGAAGCACAGAGAGATTTTTGAGTAACATAGCCTACTCCATTTAGTTAGCTGTAATAACTCTAATAAAGCAAAGCTCTTTCATTCTTTTGTCCTAATATACTGGCCTCATTTCTAAAATTAGTGCCTAAATGTGTGTTGTGCATGTGACAAACTTACTCATTAATTCAGTCCTACTGGCATCTATAGCTATAAACAGTCCTTTGCAGACACATCTGGTAGAACATTCTTAAGTTTTTTTCTACATCAATCTTCAAAAAAACCAGCAAAAGTCACATTCATTCAGAGGAGTACACAGTGACATTTTTGTTTTAATCTTCATCTATCTGATTAATGGAATCTATTAAAATAATAAAATGCATAATACTCACAGCTCAAGATTTCCTTGCACAGGAAAGACAGTAATATTTTCCACATGAAACCCTGTTGTCTCTCAGTGGTTTCTAAAGGAAACAACAGAACAATGTAATTGATCACTCAGAACAGTGAGGACCTGCTTAGAATACAGTGCTTTTGGTTCAGAATAAATTAACACTTAATTATTACAGTTAACTATTTGGTTAAACCTAAAGAACAGCACGATGCCCAGGAATAGTTTTAAACAATGTATTGGTGATAACGCCAATTTGGTCCTTCCATCCAGTGTCTGTTGTCATTTCCTGTAGAGTGACAACAAACTTTGAGTTAGATGCGAGCAATAGGTCCCAGTGGATCCTGGAACTGTCAAGGAGGGAAATGCTATAGTAAAGAAATTTTGAAATTCAGAAAACTGGCCTCAGTGTTTAGAAGCATTCAGTGTTTGCAATTTTGGATTGAATCAATGTGACCCTGCAGTTTGCATGACCCAAACAAAATTCTTCACTGAGAAAAGAAAATAAGACTGGGATTCATCATCTCAAATAACATCTATTCTTTACAACCACTAACAGCACAAATAAACAACAAGCATGTAGCAGAAGGCTATGGAAATGAAAGTGCAATTTATCCGAAGAGGCTTATATAATTAGATTACATTTATATAACCTCCTCTCTTGCAATGCCTCAGTGCTCCATATTCTTTTAAAGTCTTTAATTTTACAGGAAACCAGTGAGGTAAAAAACTACTGACCATCTATTCAACATCTGGGAGGCCAAAGCAAAAGAATGAAGAGGGGCTACATTCATACTGGCTCATGTAAGTCTACTTCACTATAAACACTTCCTCCACTGGTGCCACCAGAACCTGGATCTTCCAGTCTTGTAAAAACAGTGTTCTGGATTGCTGAGTGGCACACTCTTAAACCTCGATGCCACAGCAGTTGCAAAACCAAAGGTTTGTACTGACAGCAAGTGGTCTGACTATGGCCCTAAAGAGCTTGTCCATGGTCATGCTGAGTTTGAAGTAGAACAGAAAGTTGTCATTGGATACTTCCCAAGTCCCACAGGCCAGGCAGGAAAAATCTGAAGAAAGCAGGATTTCTGAAAGTAATCTTTTAATGTAATGGCTGTTTAGGCAAGTCAGAGGAAAGGACAGTGCCTTTGCCTAGTTTCTTAAGGTCCTATAGGATCTTCTGGCTGAAGCCCACTTTGCCCTGGGATTCCTTTTTCCCAATAGACAGTTAGCTCCCTCTGCTCCCTGTGATTCTTTTTTTTTTCCATTTAAGAGACCAAGAGCCTCATTTTCAATTCAAGTGAAGATGATTATAATTGATGTGAATTATGCAAAGCCTTTTGTTGTTTTCCATTCTGGCTCATTCAAAGCTTTGGATCTGAAAACCACTCCATATTGCTGTTCCAGGTCTGAATCTGTAGAGCAATACCATTTCTAGTTTCAGAAATCTTTGTCTGGTTGATCATATAAGTAATTTTGATTAATATGAATATAAGTAACTACATTTAAATTTGAGTCCATGGATGAATACCATCAGATGAAACTGTCCTTTAGTAAGTCCTTTGCAATCCATAAATAACTGCTGAGAGCCGAACAAAGGCCCTTTGTGTTATTGCACATTGGAGCCAAAAATGTTCTTGAAGCAAAGTTTGTTTTCAATATAATTACATACAGCTCACACATAAAACAGCTTGTTGTGCTGAAGCCAAAAATGTAGTCCTTCAGATGCTATGAACATCCTCATCTATAGTAACAATAGAAACAAATGTATGGCAAGACCATTTATGTTTCACTGGTTCCTTTTCTTTTATTTGATATATTACTTCTTGTCTAAGGGGACAGTCCTGCAAGAATCTTACTGCTAGCACAAATGTCTGCCTGTACAAACAGCCTCGCAGCACTGGGAGTTCAGTCAGTGAATTCAGGGCTGTTTTGATATTTTTTGCAGTAGTGCCTGTTACTGATCCTGACTGGAGACTTAAAAATCTTCAGAAAATGTAGCAAATGTATTTTAAAATACTGCAGAAGAAGTTGAAAATAAATACTTAGATTTGGGTTTTTTTTATATTGTGTGTCCTAAGATGTATTCAAACTTTCCAGTCAAAGTTTAAATGGTTGAGATTGTACTTTAGGAAACTGAATATGTCTATCAGCTGAAGCATCCTGTCAGGATGGTCTATTTTGAGACTCTTCCACAATTAAATACCACTCTGAAGCTAAAATGATGGAAACTGGATCGCCCAATGATGCTGGGAGAACCAGACAAGAAATTACTATAATTCATCTAGGAAATTTTGTTATTTTTTTCCTTAGCCACTTGCCCTTACATCCCTGCATCCTTCCATTCCACAGTATAGTGACTATAGAGCCATATGCCAATAATATCCTAATTCTCCATTGGCTTGCTCTTGTATTTCAGCATTTAGTATCTTTCTTTTTAAGAGTACTAGTGGGAAAACACATGATGATAATCCACAGTGCTGTCTCATTCCTCAGTAGCATATGTTTCTCTGCCATTGTAACATCTGGGTTTGTATGGTTCCGGAAAGAATCTTAACAGAAATAATTTTCCCTGTATACACATTAATAGTCAGTAAAGAGCTGCTTTAGTGACCCATCCCATCCTCATCACTACTCCTAGTGAAAGGACAGAAGAGACGCAATGGCCATGCCACAGTGAGAGGTGGAACGGACTGAAGGACAGAGGTAGCTGAAATACTTCATAAAAATGATAGCCTTCTCTGCTGGTGACAGGTCAAATCCCTGGAGGCCTTAGATCAACACAGCCAACTGTGCAGAGCACAGTTTACTTTGCTAAGAAATCATGAACCAGATGCCACCATGGGAAAATTTCTGCTACTGTTAACAAAAGTCTCTTTCCATCTCAGTTTCTGATTTTTTTTTCCAAGAAGCAAAAGATAGTTCTGACCCTGACACAACCTATACAGTTGGAGTATGTAGCTAATATTCCCACCCACAGGCTGAGAGTCACATCATCAGAGATCCTTAGTACTCTGATTCTTCTCTTTCACTTTCTCGTACTACTCTGGGAAAGAAAAGTATTCTTTTGGGTATGCTACTTTACCACAACATAGTCTGGCATCTAACCAGGGCAGAGTTAATGCTCTA